AAAACATTTACCAAACACGACTCTATTTGTGTCATTCATTTTCTACTTTACCATTAAATGCATCATTCTATTAAAATCTATATATATATAAACTAGTACAGAGCCCGTGCGATGCACGGGGTGCACAATTTTAAGGTCATTTATCAATTCTTATAATTATATAAATGAATAAAAAAAAATGTACGGGATATATATAGTACGTGACCTGTAATAGACCAAAATGTGAACACGGGTGATGCACGGGGTGCACAATTTTAATGTCATTTATTATTACAGAGCTCGTGCGATGCGCAGGGTGCACAATTTTCTAGTATGTGTAATAAAAATACATACCGTATGCACGGGACAGAAGCACTAAATGAGTTATTTCCACAAAGCTTGCCCGTTAAGTAGCTCATGAACACGGGTGCACAATTTGTAGTACGTACCATAAAATCAGAACATATTTCCATACAATTAGATAATAAATCAGATAATAAATAAAGCCTTTTTATTTTAGTGAAGATTTTACTTACTTTGTTTTTTTTTTTTACTTATCGGATGTTATGAGATTTTTTTTGTTAAACCGATTTTATGGAATATAATACAAATACAGTTGGAGAATTGAACAAAATCAGAATAGATTTTTATACAATTAGATAATAAAAAAGAATTAGATAAGGAAAAGAAGGAATTAGATAAGAAAAAGAAGTAATTAGATAAAGAATTTTAATTTTGACTTTTTTTTGGATAGATAGACTTTACGTACAAATTTTGACTTCACTGATTTTATGAGATTTATTTTGACAAAATCGATGTTAATATGGAATAAGACAAATAAATAAAGTCTTTTTATTTTAGTAAAGATTTTATGTCTTTTTTTTTTTACTTGTCAGATGTTATGAGATTTTTTTTCTATAAACTGATTTTATGGGATATAAGACAAATAAATAAAATAATTAAATAAAATTCTAAATAGAAATAACAATGCATTAATTACGTTGACTTTTCAATCTACTAAATTTGGTAAATATGATACCTTATATAATAAGTATAGATACAAATAAATAACATGCTAAAATTTAAAGAATAATTAATGTATTTTAATTTATTATCTAGCCATCAGTAATATCATGATCATTATCTCTTAAACGATAAATAAAATATTAATTTAAAAAAATATTTGTTTTTTATATACTTAAATAAAAATTAAAAAATACTATCGACAAATATGAATTATAATATATATATCAGTAAAATCATTGCAGAAGTTAATAAAATTATTTAAGGAAATAATCTTTTTGATCATATTTGAATAGGAAATGTATATATGTAAGCAATTAATGTATATAGTAAAAAATTTCTAAATAAAGTATGCATTAAATGTGAGGTGACTTTTCTTGATACTATTTTTGGTAAATAGTATGGCTTTTAATATAAGTATAGATGTTTGATTATTTTTTAAATAGTAACTATTTCCGCCAAAAAAATATTGTTATTAATTTTGGAAACTATTTAAATATTTTATGTTATGTTTTAAAGATACAATTTAGGTAATTGCAGCTAATTTATTAAGGTAATAAATCACATAAAATTTATTTTGAATCTCAAGATATTCATATTATATATATGTACATCTATATCCTATATTTGTACCTAAAATATCGGGATCTATCACAATCCTAATAAACATTATATTTACTTATATACTTTTAAATTAATCACATCAATAAATAATATTAACATACAATTATACATTAAATATTTATCATTATAAAAAAAAGAAAGAATACTTTTATAAACAATATAAATAATATTGACATTATACGATAATAAATTTTTGATTAAATAATATTTGAGTATTATGCTGAACCAAAATATGTAAAAATATTTTTTTTTTTTGTTTGTATAAAGATAAATATATATATCAAAATATTATTTATATTAATATAGACAGATCAACGAGCTAATACTTTATTAAAAGTTTTACACAAATATTTTACATTAAGAAATCCAATTAAGAAATCCAATCCTAATTAACCAAACAGACTATATATCACTCTCTTCTAGGTTACCATCAAATAATCACGCATCAAACGTGGAGAGCTTATCATATTCAGGGCATCTCCAATGGTAATAGTTATTACTAGCTATATGGTCAGCTGACGTGGATGTGAGAGATAAGAAAAATAACTATTTTACACTATTGGACCCACGTACTCCTCTCACATAATCTTGGGCTACGTGAAATAGATAAGCTATTTGTTAGTAGCTAGTGACTACTCTCTCTCTTACTTTTTCCATGTCCACGTCATAATAGTTAGCCAAATAGCCAACCATTGGAGACACCCTCATTTCACACTCTATTTATTATTTTAATGAGCTAACAGCATTTAATACCCCTCTTCTCTCTCTCTCTCTCTCTCTCTCTGTCCCTTCATTAACCCTCACTAGATATGACGACTTTGAAACCCCAATACACTCCCCTCAACCCCTCGGCCCCCGAGTACACGCCCATACCACCCGGAATCACCCGTCACCCCCTCGCGCCACCGCCGGTCTTCCTCCTCCCGCCGCCGCCACCACCCGCCTTCCGGCCTCAGCCGCCGCTTTGCTTCCTACACCATCTCATCCCTACCTACCTACCCCCAACACCCCACCACCACCACCACCACCACCACACACAACCCTACCACGCCGTCCACAGAACCACCACCGCCCATATCCAGCCTCCGCCGCCGCCAGAGGAAGAGGAGAGAGTCCCTGCCGCTCAGAGGTGGCGGCCGCCCCCGCCGCCGAGGAGGGTTAGGTGGCCGGATGACGGCAGAAGCCGACGTGGCGGGTCGTGTGTGGACCACAACAACGCCGCCATGCACAAAAATGGGAAGAGGAGCCAAGTTTTCCCCCTCATAAGAGAAGAACACAAAACAACAGTCATGATCAGGAATATCCCTTATGAATGCCCGTATATATTTTGCTTCAAACCCTTCTATTATTTTGCCTTTTTTTTTTATGTTTTCAATTATATTATTCATTTTCTTTTTTAATTTTTTTTCCTTACCTTAACTGTCCTTGTTAATTAATATGTTCTTTTCGTTATCGAATCTCCCGAGCACTCGAAGCTTTGCGAGTTCATTTCGTCTCATTTATTAGCTCGAACGAGCTCATAATTGACTGAGTCGAGCCGAACTCAACTTGTTAACGTTCTAAAATAGACTTTTTTTTATATAGTTTTTAGCTCAACTCGTGAATGCTTGAGCATATTACGAGGTTATTCGTGGTTGATTTATTTTACTATTTGCAGAAGAAAAGAGCTTATAAATCTCATGGACCGTTTTTGCTTGATGGAAAATGCAAAGGCAAAAAAGGAGGGAACATCCGAGGAAAGCAGCAGCACTATCACAGCCTACGACTTTCTGTACTTGCCGATTGATTTTAGGTAAAATTAAGAATAAAATAAATTTATACTCCTATAAAAAAATACTAGTAATAAAAAAGCTATATTAATTAATAGTAATAATAATTATATATCTGTAACTTAGCTAGCTAGGGTTCGTATCTCGATAGTGATGGCTGATAGATTTTGCTTGCTTTGGGTAATGTAATGATTGATTGTTATAAGGTTTTTGGTAATTTCCAAAAAAAATGGTAATGATTAAGTGTCTTTTCGATATAGCGTATTTTTTTTAGTTATTATTAATTTATTTATTTTTTTTAATTTTTTTTGGTAATTATCTTCAGTACGAAAAAGAGCAGAGGGTTTGCATTTGTCAACTTCACAAGTGCGAGTGCAGTTTGGAGGTTCTATCAGGCTTTTCACCTCAAAAATTGGGATTTTATTGAGCCAACAAGGTGGACCAAAAAGATTGAGGTTGTCACGGCCAAAATTCAGGTTCAGCACACAATAATTATTAATATCCAAATTATTGGTTAACATGAAGATGTTATAGTCCGTTACGGAACCATTTCGTTGGGATTTGTAACCGTTAGATCAACTATTTTTTACGGTTACAAACCAGTTCCGTAACGGGACCTTAGCATTTTCCACATATAGTATATTTTTTTTTTTCAAACCTGTTTTGCCTTTTAAATTTACAACCTATCATAATTTACAAGTACTAATAATATTTTATTTTGATGGCATGCCATCTAACTTTTACAAACATTTATAATGTTTAATTTTTTTGTACATTATATTTTTTAGAATAATTGTAACATTATCGGTAATGTGTAAAATACCTCAAATTTGCATAATGTATGTGGTTACTGAAATTGAGTTTTTTTTTTAGTTGAGTAAAGTGAGTTATTTGAATAAATTAATTAAATGGATGATTGAGTGAGATTTTTAATTTGTGTTTACAATATATTTAAAAAGATAATGTTAAAAGTTGATTTAATGTAAAAGATAGAAGAGTGTTGGAGTTAATGAGTAGTTAAAATTATGTGGGTGAATTAATAATGAATTAAAGTTGATGTGATATATAATAATAATTGATTGATACTATTTAATTACATTGAATAATATTGAGAAAAGTTAGATTATTAAGTTTGAGTAATATTTTAGTTGAAAATGTGAGATTGTATGAGTTTGAGTTAAAAAAAAAACTTAATTCCAATTGCCCCGTAGTATTTTTCAAATGCAATTTGAATTTTACAAATATTACTAGATTACTAAATATTACTAATGTCTGATTACTAGTAATCTTGGGGAAATGTTACAGTCCTTTTAGGGAACTATTCTGTCGGGATTTGTAGCTGTTAGATCATCATGTAACCGTCGTGAATAGTTGATTTAACAGTTACAAATTTCGACGGGATGGTTCCGTAACAAGATTGTAAAATCTCTTGTAATCTTGGCTATATATATCCGTAAATTTGCGGATGATTATATTATTCATAATGTGTAACTTATAGTACATCTTGAATACATATGTTGTATTTTGCGGATGATTATGGTTAATATTCGTAAAAATTAAAGTATTTTTATTTCACTACCAAAAATATTATAGATTGTAATATGTTTTACAATTAATATATTATTATCTATAAATAAACCCATTTATTTTTCTCTAATATTTTACTCAGGGAAAGGATGCGCTAGTGAACCATTTCTCTCAGTCCATTTTCGACTGTGACAGCGATGAATACCTGCCGGTGACTTTCCGGCCGGCGAGGGACGGCTCCGGGCAGTCCGGTCAGCTGACGGCTGTTGGATTACGTGGATATCAGGAAGCCTACCGCCATCATAAGCGCTAGCTAGGACCTTTTTAGGGTTAATTTGGTATTTTCAACTTCTTAGAGACATTGGCATTTCTCGAGTTATGCCTCTTTATCTTTCGAGATGTTTAAGGTATAACTCCTTAAATACCACATATCACGATATATCACGAGACTGGTTGATCTCGGCACCTGGGATATGATGATGATCATGAGTCTGAGTCTGTGTATGTGATGATCATATTCATATCTGAGGTGGTGGGGTCCACCCCTTAAGGCAGTGTTTGGCTAAGTTAGGGTTTTTGCGTGTACGCCTCAAATTTGTGGTTTGTGATTTAACCAGGATTCGTGTTTTCAGTTTCACTTTCTATTGTTGTATGAAAAT